GGGCCCGCCCCGTCCGGCGGCAGCGGGGAGCGGGACGGGCCGGGGCGGCCCCCGACGCCACGTGGCGTCCGCGCTGCCGACCGGGGGGAGCAGGACAGCGGTGGGGAGGGCAGCGGGGAGCAGCACGGCACAGAGCCAGGAACGCCGGGCTCCGCGGGGCGGGCGGCCCCAGAGCGCGCTCGGCTGAGCCGCGGCGAGGGACAGGCTCCGGCAAACGCGGGGGAGGGCAGGCGAACACCCCTCCCGGCAATGGGGACTGAAACAGCTCTTGCCAAGGGTCACGCGGGCAGCGACAGTCGGCTGCAGGTCTGGGGACCTCACTGCCCTCAGCTCCAGGTGATGCTGTCTCTGCCTGAACACCGGCCCCGGGCGACATCTCAGAAGCTGTGGGCTCCTGCAAGCGTGGCCCAAAGGGCACTGTCACAGGACRAGGCAGGAGGTACTGTAACAGGTGGGGGCCAGGCAGAGAACACCTTGTTCAGTTCATTCTTCTGCCATGGGGCTCAKCCATCCCTTCTGAGGACAAGGCTCCGTTTGTACCCCAATAGCGAGTGACCATGTGTTCTCAGTAAATGGCCGCTGCCACACTGCCAACCACCGCCTGCGCACACTCCCGACCCAGTTAGCCTGACCTCTGTTCCCAGGCGCTTTCTACAACCAGGGATTAAGTTTAGCAGCCAACCATCAAAGCTGCTGCCCAGAGCAATTTCCATTTTTCTTACACGGAAAACGWGAGAAAAGGAAGCACAACTTTCCCCGGCAGAGGAGCCGGGCTGTGGTAAGGCCACAGCCATCTCATTTCCCTATTGGGAACTCGGCAATAACCTGCCCTCCTGCCCCGTGGCTGCTTGTGGGTATGTTCGCAAGTCCCGACACATCCTGCATAGTCGAAGGGTGCTTACACCTCTCGAGCATGAAGCGCCTGGTGCTCTTAAAGCCTTCTGCACAGAGGATCTGCCCGGGAACAGCAGAGGCCCTGGCCCGTGCGGGAGAGGAGCCCCGGCTGCCCRGCACCTCACCCCGGCCAGGGTGCTGGTTACACAAGCGCAGGAGCAGTACTGCACACTGGGACTTGTAGTCTTGGCAGATCTCATTGTCCTCTGCCTCCTCAAGGCCTCAGAGTCTCTCCTGTCTGTTCAGCCCGTCAGTTCGGGGCAAGAGTTGCAGTGCAGAGCTTGGCTCCAGAGCCGGCCGTGCTCCCGGAGCTGCCCCGTGCTTTCCCGTCCTCCAGCGGGCAGCGGGCCGGGCCCTCTCTCCCAGCAGCCCCCACAGCCCATGGGCAGTGGGAACAGTGCCCGCTGYGCCGGGGCGGCCGCCTGCAGCAGCCTTGGCAGGGYTYGGAKCACTCCAGGGCCACGGGCGAGCAGYASAAGCCCCGCCGGGCTGCCTTCTGCGCAGCTGGGCCGAAAGAGCCGGGCACCCTGGCCTCAGGACACATCGGGCTCTTTAACAGGCATACGTTTTTCCAGATGAGTTCAACAGCTGGCATTTATAGGAGTGAGGGTAACTTCTAAAAAAGCCAGCTCACTGTTGATACTCCATGGAAATATTTCTAACAGATCAGATCTTATGAGAATGCTCAGATACAATTTTTAAATTCAAACTAAAACCATCAGTGTTTCTGYTTCACAAATTTCAGCCAGATACATGTTTTATTACAGTGAGGGCTTATCTCACTAGGAAGAATATCAATGAGGAAAACACCAGCTTGCCARTGAAGTGTTCTTCTAGCACATGCTAAATCCCAATACCTATTTCTATTCTCTTTTAGCAGTAGAAGTCCTTGATGTAAATGGGAACAGAAGAGGAGGTAAATCCAAAACACAGGGATGTCTGTTCAGCCTCCTCTGGAAAATAGTGAGTCAGACCCTCAGTAAAAATGAGAAAGAAGTCCAARACTAGAAAAAAATACATGCTAGGACAAATCTGAGGGGTACTGTTGTAAACATCACTCCATCAGCAGCCAGTAGTAACATGACTGGCTTTTATGTAATTTAACTTACAAACAGGTCAAGAGACTTACTGATAAACAAATCAGGGAGCACATGCTACCTGTCAGTTGATTCTGATCTCCTTTCAGTTCAATACTTTCCCTGATATTTTTTKCTCTGTAACATTAAACCTCACTATTGCAAAATCCAAACAACRTTCAGAGAATTCTTTTTCTGGTTTTCCAGTCCATTCCTATTTACAGTCTAGTGAAAACTGTTTAAAGTGCAATTCTGTCTGTCTTTCCAGTCAACATTCCTTCCATACTAGTCCCACTTCCTGCAGTTTCCTTGGGCTTTTGCTTTGCACCATAATTGTCTGAATTAAGACATAATGCTCTCAGTAGAAACTGGGTTTGCAAACACAGGTTAAAATAYAGCATGTGCCCAAATCTGAAGGCAGCTGGCAAAACGGAGCTTTGCTATTAGCTGACACCACTCCAGCAAGTCAGAGGACCACCTGGGGATCAGAAGGTGACAGTCCTGACATTGAGGCACTTGACAACGGAGCAATGGTTTACAAAGAGTTAATCATCTAAAGCTTTCAACAAGCAGAAAAGCAGAAATATATAGAGAGATTCCGTAAATAGAAGTCAGACAAGACAGCGGGGATGGATACAGAAGGGCCATGAGAAGCATAAAGACTCAAATACACAAATGAAAATATCCAAGTAAGGGCTGGAGGGACACAACCTACAGGCAGTTGATGGTGAGGAAGAGACAGCTGCAGCAGCAAAAATATTCCAGGAATGGTAGAAATGGGGTTAGGAAACCAGGATTTATTAACAGGACTTTCCTAGTATGCACATTACTCTTTCATTATGCAATATTTAGATCTTTTCTCATGCAATTCAAACAAACTCCCAAGTTTTTAACCCCCTTATTAAGTTTGTAGGAGTCTCTTGGAATAGGGCAGGCACTGGTGTCTCACGCAACTTTAATGACACTGTGGCACTGCGCGGATCTTCCCATGAAACAACACAGAAAATACCAGGAGGGAAGTGTAATTGYTCATATGCTTGGCAAACACCAGCCCTAGAATAGCCCAGCATATCACACCCTGTCCAGCTCTGAGTCCTGTCCATGGAAACAAGGATTTCTYCCTCATCAGAGAATCACCAATGTCAGCTGAGTTGTCACTGAGGTCCRTGTTCTGATTCCATGAGCAGGTGTGCAGATCACCTGCCTCTCAGTACTCATCTCTACCCTCACTCACGGTGGTGCATGAGCACAATCAATGTAGCACCAGAAATTTTACAGCCCACGTGAAAGTCTTRCCTTCTGCAAGAGCAACCACACTATTACAGCTCTGCTCTGTCCATTAGTCCCTACTTAGTCCCTTGATGGCCAACCTCCACTGCAGCTCCCCCATGAAGAGACAAGTCCCCCTGTGCTCCCTCCAGAGTGCTCTGTTGCAGGATCTTGGTATATGGAGCCAGGGCRAAACACCTTGACAAGCAAACTCACTTTACCCAAAGCTCTGAGCCAAAGTTCCATGACAAAAAAGGAGAGCAACACTGCAACATTCATTTACAGGATGTATTTATTACACTGTAAAAAGTCCATTTGATTTGTAGCCATTTACTCTGTATGTACACTGGTTGTATTCCCACACCAACTGCAGGTTCCTCTCCATAGGGGATACACTGGGTTGGAGTCCCACCCATGTCCCTCCCAGTCACCAGGGGGATTTCCAAGATTGAAATTATTGAGAATTTTGCCAACTAGTCAAGGGAGGAGGAGGAGGATCAGCGACGCAGTGCTTGCCAGGCAGCCAGCTCTGCTCTGGACATGAGCAGGGGGAAGAGCGGGATGTCCTTGCGGCAAGGTGGAAGCACAAGAATCACTGCCAGGGCCTCGGCTGGAGGGGCATTCTGGGGTGAGAAGGACACGGGATCCCAACAACTAGGAGATGCAGAAGGGTGCAATCTCTGCAGAGCTTCCAACAGAAACCACTGCACACCTGCCGGGCATCTGTCACCAGGTGCCACAGATCCTCACATCTGTAGCTGAAGAGGATGTTCTCCTAAGGAAGGGGCTGGTCACCAAGAGGCCCCCACTGTGTAGTGAGTGGCAAACACATCACTGCCCTGGAAGTGCTGTGTGAGACAGGGCCATGGTACTCTGCTCTCAGCATTTCCTTCTCATCTGCTCAGCTAGGCAGAGCCTTCTGGATTTGCTCTCGCCAACCAGAAAGCCTAATTACATTCACAGGAGCAGGGATGAAAGCCACGCTTGCCCCTATCCGACTTGCCTGCTGCCTAATCTGTATCAGGCTTGGGGATTGCTGTCATCTGTGTTGCAGAAGGAAAGCATGTGCCAGCAGTCAAGAAGCTCCATGTAGCAAACTGGGAGCTGCACTGTAAGCAATCCATATTTCTAATAAAATTCTCTACCTGCTGAACCCAGGTGTGCCCAGAGCCCAAACAAAGCAGTGCAACCACAAGAGTGAGCAGGAAAGCTAGGGAATGGCTGGGGAATTGTCCAGGGACTGAACTGAGTAATCTTGAGAGGCAGCCCTGGACTGCAGCCCCTCTCTGGTGTGACATCAACAAGTTTTCCCYCTTTACCAGATGAACTGGTGGCAGCTTGGTCCCACGCTGCTGGGCACGGGCATTGCCTGGCCCGAGATTGCAAAGGCAGGAAGGAGACTGGTCAGTGGAACTGGGCACTCCTCCAAGGAAACAGGGATTTTTTGGCAGATTTCTAGGTGATGCAACAAGGGAGCAGGATGGGAAGTGCTCCAGAGGACTGTAGCAAYGGCCCTTCTGCTCAGGTTAGCATCATCTTTTAAAACAAACATGCCCACTATGAGAGAACATTTGGCCAGCATCCTCCACCCACAGAGCTTCCTCAGCAGACAGTTCT